ATATATGTTTTCCTATGTTGTTTGTTTAAAGAAAAACGTAATAAAAATTATATGATTAAGAAAAAATATTAACTCCAAAAAAACATAAAGAGTAAACAAATTTTTTTTATTTTTACCAGTGTTCGTTTTCTGCAATTTTTTTAATGCAACACTTTAAAAAATAACAAACAAAAAATATTACGGTAATATTATAAAAATAAAATCTAAGACGAGAAGGAGTTAATAAGGACTGATTAGGGTAACTAAGGCATAATATAATAACTTGTTTGTTAAACTAAATTTAATTTATACCACCGCCCTGGAAGAAGTTACAACCGTGTTAAATGGGAATACATTTTATTTATTTTTTATTTTTTTCCGTAACTGTTATCACATGTGGATCAAAGTTCACACCTTCAATCTACATATGAATGAAATATTAACTTCAATGTAAGTTTGGGGATGGCCCCTTCCTGTTCCAACATGACTGCGCGCCAGTGCACAAAGCAAGGTCCATAAAGACATGGATGGGGGAGTTTGGGGTGGAGGAACGTGACTGGCCGCACAGAGTCCTGACCTCACCCCCGTAGAACACTTTTGGGATGAATTAGAGCGGAGACTGCGAGCCCGGCCTTCTCCCCCAACATCAGTACCTGACCTCACAAATGGTCCAACATTCCCATAGACACACTCCTAAACCTTGTGGACGCCTTCCCAGAAGAGGCGGTGCTGTTATAGCGGCAAAGGGCGGAACCAACCCAATATTTAACCCTACGGACTAAGACTGAGATGCCAATAAAGTTCATGTGTGTGTAAAGGCCGGCGTCCCAATACTTTTGGTAATATAGTATATGTCCCAAGAAAAACGTCAACAATCCAGCTTAGTTAGGACATATCTCCTACAATTAGGCCAGTTTCTATAGAACTTTTGGCGCCTGACCACATTTGTTAAATCCCATTCTATATGGTAAACCCCCCACTGTTTTCAGTAGGGATGGTTAGGGGGTATGATTGTAATAACCCAGACTAGGCCAAAGCCAATGATCTGTGAATTATACAGATTCATTTTAAGCCTTTGGACATGTTAGCAGGCTATAACAGTCATACACAAGTGTAGTCACCTTGCCCTAAGCTTGCCCATTTAGTTCTGCTGGACTGTAGCCAGTCTAAGCTGATTTGACAGTTCTGTGCTCATTTGGTTTCCCCTAAGCTCTCTGTTATCGTTTGTATCTGCCTACTGCTGGGTGTGACCTTGCCATAGAGCAGAACATCCAATAATGCTAATAATAATAATATGAATATGTGTGTCCCACTAGCCAATTACTAGGAGGTTCATGGCCAGTGGTGCATCATGGGGAAGGACATATAAATATGGGGCTGAGCTTGTGAGTTTCTCTTTCCTCTGGCTCCTGCCTGGTAGAGGGTGTATGTTGTGATGTGCTATCTGACCAGACCTGCAGGTGGTCAGGGTGGGTGCCCAGTGTTGGGGTCTGCAGCTGTCCTGCCATCTGAAGATGGAAGCTGTATCTAGGTAGGAGCACCAGGGAGGAACTTCATCTGCTGGAGGTGCCGGAGAAGCTGGAATTTGTCTTGGACCTCGGAGGGCATCTGGTGTCTTGCCTAAGGAGTTCTGTGCTATGTCTGCTAGCCAGCTAAAGTGTTGCCATACGCAGTGTTACCACAATTGGTTTAAAGGCTGGGGAGTAGTCGGTGAGTCGGGAGTCTGCACTGTCCTAGGTGTCCGTAACCCCCAACCCTCTCTACCATGTGAGCTGTCAGGAGAATAAAATCCTTTGAAAACCCTTAAGTGGCTGGCATCCCACTTTACATTCACATCCCACAACTGGCTAACCTCACTCCCTGAGGTTAAATGTCAGCCCACCCTGTGTCTGAGGTCCCTCACGTGTTTCTGGGGGCAAGAGGGGTGCTACACAAGTAAAATAAAATTAGGAAGCTTACTTAAAATATCAGCATATTCCATTCTGGAGAAGCACGTTATCACTGGCTTGGATCCCTAGTTGAATAATCAACCCCCCCTTCTGCCAATCCCTGCACTGGTCTCCAATAGCCCAAAGGATCAAATTCAAAATATTAACAACCACTTACAAAGCCATCCACAACTCTGCCCCCGGCTATATCTCAAACCTGGTTTCCAAGTATCACCCTCACCATCCCCTCCGCTCTTCAAAAGACCTCCTGCTTTCCAGCTCCCTCATCAACTCCTCCCATGCTCGCCTCTAGGACTTCACTAGAGTCTCTCCCATCCTCTGGAACTCTTTACCCCAACCTGTCCATCTATCTCCCACCTTGACTGCCTTTAGGCGATCCCTAAAGACTCATCTCTTCATGGAAGCCTACCCCACCACAACGTAACCGCTCAACCATCACGTTCTCAAACAATTCATCCTCACACAGCTACCTCCTCATGTATCACTAGCCCCTCCCTTTTATATTCTAAGCCCTCAGGGGCAGGGCCCTCCTTACCATCTTGTCTTGAATTGTATTGTGATTGAATGTCTTCCTTATATTGTAAAGCGCTGCGCAAACTGTTGACGCTATATAAATCCTGTATAATAATAATAACACGCCAACCATGAAAGAGTAACAACTTAATACTATATCAGACAACGATCCATAAATCTAAAAGCATTATTCTAATATAATTGGCTGATTTCATAGTCATTCTTCATTTCCTCTGATCTAATACAGGTGATCTGACGTGTATTGGCATTTAGGAAGTTTGTTCACATATGGTGGAAGCTGAATATCACACAGTTGAGGAATAGATGGGCATCTGTGTCCACCTTGGTGCCCACCTCGGTTAGGTATTTAAATACGTTTCTTCTACAGGGATCGGTCTTCTGTGTTTATGTGCTCAAACTTTTTATAGTATAAGATTGACGCTTTCATATGATAGAGATTAATGTCTCGACTCTGCTACTTTGTACGTAACATTTTAACTGGTAAAACTAGTTATTTCGATCATTATGCAAGAGTGGAACTTTGGGTGAGATTTTCTTACACAGGGAGTTTATTGTTTATGTAGATCCTGGTGTGTAGGTTACAGGAATCGTAGGAGCCAGAAATACGCACTGAGCTTACAGGGTGATATCATTTGGTGATCTTTCTCCATTCTCTCACTGCACAGGTTCAGGTGAACATGGCCGTCCCCCGTTTGATCTGCATCTTCATTCTTCCTGTGTGTTTCTCAGCAGCTCTGCCTCATAGTAAGTGGCACACCGGGCATTGACCTTTGTGGGGATATAGTATCTGTCTTGTTCCATAGATCTGTGCAAAGAGCAGGAAGGATATATAAGTCCATGATATGTCCTATAGATATCACTTAGATCCTATTTTCTAGGGATGCACCGATACCAGTTTTTCGGTATTGAGTACGAGTACAGATATTTTTTTTCCGTGTGCCCAGATTATCAGACCCGTCGCCCGGCTTCCTGATTGCCTGTGAAGCTGGTGTCTCTAGCGAAAGAACACCGGCTTGACTTGCCGAGGCTGCCTGGCTTCCTGACCAATCAGGAAGTCGGGCGGCGAGTCATGAGTTGCTGCCCGGCTTCCTGAATGGTCAGGAAGCCAGGCTACCTAGCAAAAAGTGAAGCCGGCTTCCTAGCCAATCAGGTAGTCGGGTGGCAAGTCATGACCCACCTCCCGGCCTCCTGATTGGCTAGGAAGCCAGCTTCACTTGTTCCTAGTCAGCCTGGCTTCCTGACCAATCAGGAAGCCGGGAGGCAGGTCATTACTTGTCGCCCTGCTTTCTGATTGCTTAGGAAACCTGGCTGCCTAGCAACACGTGAGCCGGCTTCCTAGCCAATCAGGAAGCCGGGAGGTGGGTCATAAGCCACCACCCGGCTTCCTGATTGGAAAGGAAACTGGCTCCATGCTCCCTTGGCACTTGCAGGCAGAGAGAGGTCTCCTTCTGACCTAAAGTTCCAGTATCGGAGGTAAGTATTGAAGCATTTGGGCGAGTACGAGTACTCGCCAAAATACTCGGTGCATACCTACTATTTTCCTGTAATGTCAATTATGAGATAAAGCCTAACCCCAATAACATATTTTTTGAGTGTTGGATTGAGTGGGGAAGAGTTAATATTTCATTTCTCCATGATCCCATTTTCCTTCACTTCCTGTTACACTACAAGAAATGGGGGGGTCATCCTTGTGACTGGAAGGCAAATCCAGGAATAAAACATAATCAGAGGTTCCAACTCTTCCTCATTCTATGCAAAATGTGTTTTTGTCACAGAGATTTCCCATTGCTTCTCTCCAATAGCGACACAGAAGGCAATCAAAACCTTGTAGGGGCTCTTACCCTTCCCTACTCAAAAAGAAAAAATCTAAAAAAGTTTTGGTTAAAGTTGAGGTTTAGTTGTGACTGGTTGTTGCTGCATTTGATACATCAGCACTCTAGTCACATGCTATTCTATGTGTGGTTGACTTGCATTAGGGACCGGGTTTTTTAATCTTGTATGATTGAAGTAGACCTGCCAATGTATGCAGTAAAAAAATATGTATCCACCCTAAGCAGGGGTGACTTTTTGCATTGAGATTTGTTGAGTTGTAATCAGCATAAGCCAAATTGATAGTTCAGCTCTCTGCAGGGTTCCCTAAGCTCCCTTCTGCTTAGGTAAGTTCTTGGCATTAAAGTAAGAATATATAACAATGCTATTATGAATAATGATGCCTCCCTGGCCTACCACTAGGAGGTTTATTAACAATGGGGCATGCTGGGGGAGGATATAAGAAGAACTTGCTGGAAGTTCCCTTCCCCCAGGCCTCCTGTCTGAGAGCGATGCATGCTGGAAGCCTCATCCTCCAAGGCCTGCTGCCTAGGAACAGCAAACATTTGCTATTGAACTATGGCCTAAATCTGGGGCCTAGGCTGCCATGACCTTGCTGGAAGGGTTTCTCCAGGAGTGCAGCTTAAACCTGGGAAGATTCACCAAGGAGGAACTTCACAAGGAGATGCCTGATAAGGCAGAGGTGGGCTTGGACCTTACAGGAAGTTGGTGTCTTACTCAGGAAAATGAAGCTGCATTGACTACCACAGCCAAAAGTCTCTATTCACAGGATGCCAGTCTGCCTTAAAGGTCCTTTACCTGTGAAGGCCATGAGTATGTCTTCCTTGGTGTCTGCTATGTCCTTAGTATTGTCCTATGGCCTAAGCCCTCTCTCTCTAGAGTTTATGGTGGCAAATAAACTCTATTACTTGTTCAAAAGTGATTACCATCCATCTGTCCACAACCCCACTAAAAGTCAAGGACCCTAAGGTGTCATCCAAACTGACCCCTGTGGTGCTTCAACCAGTTTCTCTGAAATGCAGCATGTTAAGCAGGACATTCAATTCGAAATGTTCTACACCATTTACAGTTAAGTCATTGTGGTGTCTAGCTGGACTAAGCACTGGGGAATTCCTGTGCTCAGGAGCGGATTTCCCACAAGGCAAAACCATGGCCTGGCCTTGGGGCAGCAGGGAGTAGGGGGGCAGCAGGAGTGTGGAATTCCTATCTCCTGATGCCCTGGACATGCCGTTCTGGGCACCAGGTGGGTAGTTGTTGTCTACATTTAGCCCCACTTTGGGCAAGCAGAGCTAAATGTACAATGGGCAAGCCGCCACTTGTTTTGTAGAAGTGATCCCGGAGATGCCACCGAGATCCCTTGTATGCAGCCTGCAGGTCTGCCATTCTCCATGGGGGGGTTTGGCGTTTAGGGGGGGCGCATTGAGGAACCTGGCCTTGGGGCAACAGAGAGAGTAAATCCGGCCCTGGCTGTGCTGTTTATTTGTTGTGAGTTGCCCACCTCATGTGCACCTCCGTTATTGAGTATATTGTCTATCAGATACTATACAGCTTTAGCACACACTCATTGTAAAACGTTATACCCTGTATCTATACAAATGTGATCAGCACGGTGTCATGTGTGGGTGATAGGTCTGTTTACCTTGCTAGAAGGCTAATTTTTAACTGTTTCCTCTGTGCCCTAGATCCAGCTATTATGAAGATGGAAACCTTCACTGATCTCATACAGGAGCTGGAGTCCACTTTGCCAGAATGGTCTGCTAAGAAACTTGCTGAGCTCCTGCTGTCTTCTACCACTGAGCCATCCCAGCCGCATCAACATTTGTCTGATAGACAGGCTGCTCTTGCTCGTGATTTGTTGTCTCACAAGGCGATAGATTTAGAGGAGATGGGTTGGCAGGAACAAGGAGTTGTTTTGGCTCCTGATGGTAGCAACGTGGCTTTAAGGTCTCTTCTGGACACTGTGGTCTGGGGGTGGAAAGCTGACTGTGATGGAAAAAAACTGGAAAGTGACAAAAAGAATGTGGAGTCCAGCGAAAAACCAAGGCCAAGCCAAGAGTCAGGCAGTCATAACATGTATCAGGTTACATTGCCAAGTATGCTAGGATTGCATTTTGCCAGTTTCAATGATTCCTTGCAGGTGCCATTATATGTTCCTGATGGGTGCTGGGATTCCATCTCCGATCCAAAAACCTTTCAGCTACACGGGGCCCCTTCCAGAAATGATCTGACACTCGCCAACATCAATGGAGTATTGGATGGTGCTCTACTGAGGGAAATGATCATAAATGAGACCCAGAAGATGAGTGACCTACTTCAATCTTACTACGGGGGAATTCCAGCTAGGAGCCCATACAGGAGGCAGAATTTCCAGGAGCTGCTGGGAAAGGGCGAGTTAGGAAATGAGATAGAGAGAGCAATTGGTTGTTACAGGAAACAAAGTAAAGGTTCGGGCCTTCCTGATATGACAGAAGAAGAGCTGAAAGGAACCGCAGCTGCAGCGGCCAAGCAGTTTGAGCAGCAATATCTGGGTATAACTATTATTATCATGGCTATTATGTGTAGTTATATTTGTTGTGTGTGTGTGTATAGATCTACGAAGTCCCAAACTCACAGGCATTGCTGAACCTTTTTTTATAGAAACACACAATTGAGGGCCCATTCACACCACATCCAGATCATCTCCAGACCAGACCAGATTGTTTCCGGACCCAAAATGCATCCTAATGTATTCCTATGATATTTCTGGCCTCTGTTCACACCAGCGCAGTGCGTTCCAAACCAGACCAGAAAAATACTGCATGTCTCATTTTGTCTGGTCTGGAATGCACTGGAACCGCGGGCAGGGTCACACCATTTTCCGGATCAGATCTGGTGTGAGCCTGCTTAGGCCTGAAGATTAGTTAAACCCCCTTAGAATTATATATTTTCTGAAGGAAAGACCCTGAAAATGGTGGCAGTTGCAAGTTTTTATGGCATGCAATAGGGGAGGGGGCCATAATTTTTTATAGCATGCGATAGAGAGGCACAGCTAGCTGTCATTCAGGCAGCAGGGTGGATCCCTACAACACAGCTATGGACCTTCAGCATATAGTGGGTAGTAGCCCGCTAGATGCTGACTTTGGGTCACTGGAGGAATGTCCTCCTGTGACCCAAAAGATAACTAAAGCCAAAAAGAGATTTGGCTTTAGTTCTTATATCTTTATTGCTATCATCTATTAGACCCCTAATGTCACCTTTCTACTCCTCTAAGGCCCCGTTCACACCGGGGCGGTTTGGCCGAGCGGATCCGCCGACATGAACGATCCCATACATTGCTATGGGGACTGCTCATGCAACCGCGTGGCTCTGCGCGATCCGAACCGCCTCCCTGTACTGCCACCGGAGTAACCCTTACGTTGCCAGCAGCAAAAGGGTCAAGGCCGAACTCGAGTCAAAAATAAAAAAACTAAAAGCACGTGCCACTAACAGTCTGCCTTCTCCTGCTCGGGCCAGCTGACAGCTCAGCTCCCTTCTCCTAGCCCCGAAAAATGTAGGGATGTCCCTGATTAGCATCCTACTTGTTAGCACATTAAATGTTTGCTCCTTGTGCTGCTTCTTCCTCTGCCATTCTGAGCTCTGCTGTACGCTGGCTAGAATCCCTCGCTAGTTTCTCTTTACTTCCTGAAACCCCATATGACTAGTGACATCACAGGGGTTGGGAAACTGACACCTTCTTACTTGGGTTTAGGGCCTAAGTGAATATGTTCATCTTTTATTTGAATGGCATTATTATTATTATTATTATTATTATACAGTATATTAAGCCTTCAAATACATTTTGGTGATTACTATCCTTAGAAATGCATGCCTTATGTGCAGTTAAAAAAACACACTGCATGTTATCCTGCATAGCAGCACATTTACAATGGATATTCCAGGTTGTTGTTGGACGCAGCGTCTAGGGATGGTTCTGTCTATAGAGTTTGCATTGCAAGCAGTGGGACTATCATGGATTGTCTTTGGCTCCCAAATATTTGTTGTTCCCAGGGCTGTCTTTAACGCAGGGCAAAAGGGGCAGCTGCCCAGGGCCCAGCCATTGCTGTGGGGCCCAAAGCAGCTGCCCCTTGAGTAGCTCCTGCGCTGAAAAACTCCTACCACTGGCTCTGCATCTCAGCACTGACAGCAGGGAAATGGGTAATCGCAGAGCAGATGACACGGAGAGAAGAGCTGGGTGGATACCCTTCACTTCCACGCTGGCGGAGGCGGTTCTGCTATGACCTGGACGCCGATGTTCAATTGGCCTTTGCCCCTGGATTGGGGGAGAGGGAGCCTTCCGGGTGAGGGGACTACACACTGAATCAGGGCAGCATGAACAGGGGGTGTCTGATGGGGAGGCCCTGCGTGTCTGTACTGGCTGCTGCATGTGTGTATTAGGGAACACTGAACATCCAGAGAGAGGGGGCGCTACATGCTGCTTGTCTGTATGTGACGGGGGGTCACTACGTGCTTTCCATGTACATATGATGGGGAGTGCTAGCATAAGGCTTCATAAACAGTCGCCTAAGGTGCCGGGGGGAAGAGGGGGTGAAAAATGCACCTTCACCTGTGTACTCAATAATCCTTGCACCGGCCCTGCCCTTGTGCCTGCAAAGGATGAAATGTATGCGTGTTTAAAACCACGTTCTCGTAGTAAATGGATTTGCTGTTGATTTTCTTCTCAGACTGTCCTGCAGTCATGCCTCGCTGCATGTGGGGGGCTAAGCCATATAAAGGAACCCCTACCCTTCTAAACCTGCCTCTACAGCATGTCTACATCCATCACACCTATGAGCCATCCAGGCCATGCCTATCCCTCACAGAATGTAGCAAAGATATGCGCAGTATGCAAAAATTCCACCAGGAGGAGCGTGGATGGGATGACATTGGTTACAGGTAATGATGCTTTTTAACCAGATGTCCTATAAAAAGCGACTGTTTGCATGTAGGGAAAGAGAAGTACCAACATCATAATTTAATACCATTCATACACAAAATCCATTTTACATTTATTTACAATGTCTCTTGAGCCCAATTCCAATGTAGTGGGAAAGATTACTGTTTCTTTTTTTTTAAATCAGATAGTATTGATTCATTTTTTTTGTTTTTAGGCAAGTACAAAAACCATATGCACAAAGTAAAAACATACAAAACCACAGGAATACAGAAATAAACAAAAAGGGAAAAAAAGAGCGAAAAGTTACAAGTATTTAACCCATACCACAGGGATACACATATCTCTTTAAACTTAATACAAAATAAAAAGGGAAAAGGTATTGATGTAAACTCTACACAATATAGAAACAGGCAAGTGGGGTTGTACGGCGACCATGAAAGAGGAGTGGGGTGAGGGCTGGTAGCATTCAGTAGGAAGATCAAATAGGCATCCCAGCAGGGCGAAAAGATTGCCATCTGGACCATATTGAGTAAAAACTGTGTACTGAGCACTTGGACTAATAAATAATGCATTTAAATCTTGAATAAAATAATCCTATCAAGTTCCACCATCCAATCAGAGACTGTAGGAGGGAACGGTGAGATCCACTTACGTACAATGAGACGGGTGGCAGTAAATAAGCAGAAAGGCATCATGGCACACTCACAAAACCAGCATGTAAAACAACTTGTCTCACCACTAAGGATAATGACAGAGGTTTGAATACACGTCTTCAGCCGAGGATGTGTAAGCCGCACTGCCGCGCCAAGGCACCTCTTATAGTGCGCTCCTTTTGTGAGTGTGCCATGATGCCTTTCTGCTGTTTTACTGTTCAAAGCCCATTTCGTGTGCACCTTACTGTATAACTGGTAACAAATTGTTGAGTACGTTTGTCGTTTGTTTTGGGTGGCAGTAAATAGCGCTTGTCTAAGAGCCAACAGTAGAGGGAAATCAAAATGTGGATCATCAAAGACACCCAGAAGACATAGAAGGGGGGAGGGAATCAACTCAACATTAAAAACAGAATTGAGAGTACGTATGACCTTTAGCCAATAGCGTACTAGTTTAGGGCAGCTCCACCACAGGTGGATCCCTGGTGGAATACACATTTAGGACAGAAGGGACCATCTCGGTATCCTATCTTAAAGGAGAACTATGGGGTTAAGTCTTTTCCCCATAGTTCTCCTTAGGGTAACGGGAGGACACAAACTAGCGTCCTCCCGTCACCCTAGGCTCAGTATACCGCGAGCTGTATTGTGCCGGGATCCGCCCAGCTGCATGAGTGACAGCTGGCTCTGCCTATCTAGAGGCAGAGCCAGCTGTACCCGCCCCCTCCCCCGTCTATTTCCGCCAGTCAGCGCTGGTGGATCGGAGCGGGAGGGGGGAATCCAGCCCCTCCCCTGACAGGATCGAGAGATGAGCGAACACCGGTATGTGTTCGCTCACTTCCCGATCTACTGAGCCGACCTGTGACAGTCTCATTGTCACAGGTCGGCTAGAACTATGGAGAAATTCTGGACTGCGATATATCCTCAAATAATTGTGTCAGCCTGTGAGTAGCTGAGAGGGATACCTGGGCAATATTTTCCAGGACTTCATCCCAGATGTCATTAGAGAGAGAAGATCACTGTTTCTGCTCCACATGAACAATCTTTAAAATCGTTGTGGTAATTACAACATAATTTATAACTCCGTCTTCATTCCTCTGTCTTCTCCAGCTTTGTGGTAGGGTCCGATGGATACCTTTATGAAGGACGAGGGTGGCACTGGGTGGGGGCTCACACAAGGGGCCACAACTCCATTGGGTATGGTGTGAGCTTCATCGGTGATTTCACAGCTTCAGTCCCTGAGGGTCCCATCCTGAGCCTGGTGAGAGATCGCTTCTTGAAATGTGCAGTCAGGTCTGGGTATATCTCCTCCAACTACACTATTCAAGGCCACCGGCAAGTGGTGAACACGTCCTGCCCAGGAGATGCCCTCTTTCAAAAAATCTCTACCTGGGAGAACTTTAAGGTATGAAGAACCACGTGAAACCTTCTAGTGGGATTGATAAACCTGCTATGTACTGTTGGTATCTAAAGCTACTATAAACAGTGGTGTATTTTGGTTTGGGGCTGCCCAAGGCAAGACAAAATTCAGGCACCCCCCCCCCCCC